TAGTAGTAGTAGTAGTAGTAGTAGTAGTAGTAGTAGTAGTAGTAGTAGTAGTAGTAGCAGCAGCAGTAGCAGTAGCAGCAGTAGTAGTAGTAGTAGTAGTAGTAGTAGTAGTAGTAGTAGTAGTAGTAGTAGTAGTAGTAGTAGTAGTAGTAGTAGTAGTAGTAGTAGTAGTAGTAGTAGTAGTGTAGTAGTAGTAGCAGCAGCAGTAGCAGCAGTAGCAGCAGTAGTAGTAGTAGTAGTAGTAGTAGTAGTAGTAGTAGTAGTAGTAGTAGTAGTAGTAGTAGTAGTAGTAGTAGTAGTAGTAGTAGGTAGTCGTAGTGGTAGTAGCAGTAGTCGTAGAGGATAGTTTGAAGGCTTGCAAAAGGCTTTCAGGACTTCCAAAATTATTCACGAAGCCATTTGCTCAAAGGCTTCGCGCACTTCTTTGGAAACGCTGCAGCTCGGAAATGTTCCCAAAAAGGCCTGTCAAATGAAGGTCTTTAAAGGCAACTTCCGAAAATGCACCCCCCGGGGTTCGAGCCCGGGGCCTCGGGTCACAAGCTCAATCGCTTTGCCACTAGGCCATTTGGTTTGTGCCTCTTCAGCGTCGAAGAAGCAAATAATCGAGATTGAAGCTTGAGATTGAGCTTTTTGGGCCCGGCTCGGGTCCCGATCGCGTTTTCCCAATTTGTCCTTTTCGGACTTGCGTCATGGGGACTCCCCAAACCCCGTCAGTGGGCCTTCTTCAAGCCGTTCTGAAAGCCCTCGGGACCCCAAACAGACTCGGCACGTTTTGATCAACAGGAAGTAAAGAAGTCCAAGTGGCTCAAAGCCTTTGCAAGGATATTTTGAAGGCTTGCAGAAGGTAATTAAAAAGCGCTGTATGAGTTAATCGGGAATTGGCACATTTGGATCAAATCCTGATGCAGGGACCTTTTGGGACCTTCCAAAAGCCTTCAGAAAGCCATCTACAAGGCTTGTCCAAGTGGCTCAAAGCCTTTGCAAGGATATTTTGAAGGCTTGCAGAAGGTAATTAACAAGCCTTGCTGAGGCCGTTTTGGGAGTTTCGGGACCCTCCAAGCCGCAATTGGAAAGCGCTGTGTGAGTTCATTGGGAATTGGCGCATTTGGATCAAATCCTGGTGCAGGGACCTTTTGGGACCTTCCAAAAGCCTTCGTAAAGCCATTCACAAGGCTTGTCCAAGTGGCTCAAAGCCTTTGCAAGGATATTTTGAAGGCTTGCAGAAGGCTTTAACAAGCCTCGCTGAAGCCGTTTTGGGAGTTTCGGGACCCTCCAAGCCGCAATTGGAAAGCGCTGTATGAGTTAATCGGGAATTGGCACATTTGGATCAAATCCTAATGCAGGGACCTTTTGGGACTTTCCAAAAGCCTTCAGAAAGCCATTTACAAGGCTTGTCCAAGTGGCTCAAACCCTTTGCAAGGATATTTTGAAGTCTTGCAGAAGGCTTTAACAAGCCTCGCTAAAGCCGTTTTGGGAGTTTCGGGACCCTCCAAGCCGCAATTGGAAATCGCTGTATGAGTTGATTGGGAATTGGCACATTTGGATCAAATCCTAATGCAGGGACCTTTTGGGACTTTCCAAAAGCCTTCAGAAAGCCATTGACAAGGCTTGTCCAGCCTTTGCAAGGATAATGTGAAGGCTTGCAGAAGGCTTTAACAAGCGTCTGGACCTTCCAAGCCGCAATTGGTAAGGTTTGTATGAGTTCATTGGGAATGGGCACATTTGGATCAAATCCTGGAGTAGGGGACCTTTTGGGACCTTGCAAAAGCCTTCGCAAAGCCATTTACAAGGATTGTCCAAGCGGCTCAAAGCCTGCGCAAGGATATTTTGAAGGCTTGCAGAAGGCTTTAACAAGCCTTGCTGAAGCGGTTTTGGGAGTTTCGGGACCCTCCAAGCCGCAATTATAAGCGCTGTGTGAGTTCATTGGGAATTGGCGCATTTGGATCAACTCCTGGTGCAGGGGCCTTTTGCTTTGGAGACCCGAAGCTTGGAGCTAGCTTTTTTAAAGGTTCTCAGGCCGAGGCCCGCATTAATCGAGGGCCACGAATTAATCGGGTGGGCCAGGGGCCGAAAAGGGATACCCTTAGAAACCTTGGGAAAATGGTTTTTCTAGATAGATTTTGAATTAAAAACCATCTGTTCCTGAAGGCTTGGGATTTTGGAATTTTGTGGCTGCTGCTTGCTTGCTTTGGAGACCCGAAGCTTGGAGCTGCCTTTTTTAAAGGTTCTCAGGCCGAGGCCCGCATTAATCGAGGGCCACGAATTAATCGGGTGGGCTAGGGGCCGAAAAGGGATACCCTTAGAAACCTTGAGAAAATGGTTTTTCTAGATAGATTTTCAATTCAAAACCATCTGTTCCTGAAGGCTTGGGATTTTGGAATTTTGTGACTGCTGCTTGCTTGCTTTGGAGACCCGAAGCTTGGAGCTGCCTTTTTTCAAGGTTCCCAGGCCGAGGCCCGCATTAATCGAGGCCGAAAAGGGATATCCTTAGAAACATTGAGAAAATGGTTTTTTAGATGGATTTTCAGTTCAAAATTATCTGTTCCTGAAGGCTTGGAATTTTGTAATTTTGGGGCTGCTGCTTGCTTTGGAGGCTCGAAGCTTGGAGCTGGCTTGTTTAAAGGTTCCCGGGCCGAGGCCCGCATTAATCGAGGCCGAAAAGGGATATCCTTAGAAACATTAAGAAAATGGTTTTGTAGATGGATTTTCAATTCAAAATTATCTGTTCCTGAAGGCCTGGAATTTTGTAATTTTGGGGCTGCTGCTTGCTTTGGAGACCCGAAGCTTGGAGCTAGCTTTTTTAAAGGTTCTCAGGCCGAGGCCCGCATTAATCGAGGGCCACGAATTAATCGGGTAGGCTAGGGGCCGAAAAGGGATACCCTTAGAAACCTTGGGAAAATGGTTTTTCTAGATAAATTTTCAATTCAAAACCATGTGTTCCTGAAGGCTTGGAATTTTGTGACTGCTGCTTGCTTGCTTTGGAGACCCGAAGCTTGGAGCTGGCTTGTTTAAAGGTTCCCGGGCCGAGGCCCGCATTAATCGAGGGCCACGAATTAATCGGGTGGGTCAGGGGCCGAAAAGGGATACCTTAGAAACCTTGGGAAAATGGTTTTTCTAGATAGATTTTCAATTCAAAACCATCTGTTCCGGAAGGCTTGGGATTTTGGAATTTTGTGGCTGCTGCTGCTTGCTTTGGAGGCTCGAAGCTTGGAGCTGGCTTGTTTAAAGGTTCCCGGGCCGAGGCCCGCATTAATCGAGGGCTGCGAATTAATCGGGTGGGCCAGGGGCCGAACAGGGATACTCTTAGAAGCCATGAGAAAACGGTTTTTCAAGATAATTCAGGCTTGGGATTTTCTTATTGCTGCTTGTTTTGGTAGTTGGAATCGGAAGTAGTGGCAGTAGTAGTCGTCGTCGTCTTTTGCAGCATGAGTGGGAGCCATGCTAGCTGATTGGTGAGAGCACTTGGAGATGAGCTCGCAGCAAACGTAAGGATCATCGTGTCACCCTTACAACATCCTCATGAGGGCACGTCCGGTCTAATCGGGAGGGGAGTTCCCTATAGTTGAGGGTTTGGGGTTTAGGGCTCGAGGGCTTTCGCGGTCCCAAGCGTATCATCCTCAAAAAAGTGTACATGAGGGCAGGTCCCGTCCGATCGGGGGGGGAGTTCACTAGTTGAGGGTTTGGGACTTAGGGCAGTAGAGTCACAAGCATGTCATCCTCAAAAGAAATCTCTTGGAATCTACTTGAGGGCAATTCCGACCCAATCGGTGGGGGGAGTTCACTAGTTGAGGGTTTGGGGCTTGAGGGCTCGCACACATCTCATCCTAAAAAAAAAATCACATGAGGCCAGGACCGGTCTAATCGGGGGGGTTGACTAATCGGACGGGCGGGCATTTTCGGGAGGTGGACCGGTCTAATCCGGGGGTATTATTAATACGTTACGAACATTACTCACCGTAATTCGCACACTTCTGACTGTCCCGCTTACACTTTCACGGGGGTAGCCACGAGAGCTGTCCCTGGCAGGCTTGACGTTTCGAATGCCTGAGAGAGAGAGAGGGTTTAGGGTTTAGGGTTTAGGGTTTAGGGTTTAGGGTTTAGGGTTTAGGGAGTCCACCTCCACCTTCCCTTGAGGCGGAGCTGCTCGCGGCGGCGGAGGCGGCGGCGGCTCAAGCCAAGGAGGAGGGGGACGGACAGCCGGAGGCCTCCGCGATGACTGCAATTTGCTCAAGAACCTCCCCCAAAAATCCTATATTGCCCTTGGAAGAATATTATATATATACACACACACACACACTTTTTTGTTTAGTTTTTGGATAAATAGTCCCCATATTGCCCTTGCACGGAAGAATATCTGTTATTTTTTTGGGCTCTTAAGCAAATAGTAGTAGACGACGGATTCCAGGCATGTTGGGGTTCTTTTGAAGGTACACCCATTTCTGTAGACCCCCTTAGGCATTCAAAATATCATGATTGTTAAGGTTCTAAGGGGAGTATCGATTTTTTTTGGGAAGTGCCCAGAAAGTGTGTGCTCATAAGGCCCGCCTTGTTGAATAGTCTAAGGGTAGTTACATTGTCCCTGAGTATAGTCCCTTGCCTTGTTTAAAGGGTTCTGAAGTATAGGTCCTTGGGTTGTATGGAGTATATAAGGACTTCCAGAAGAAATGGAAAGGCCCCCTCTTAGAGAACCCCGGAAGAGGGGGCGACACTAAGCATTTTGGGTACACAGGAACCACCCCCCATTTCTCCATTTCAGTAAGCAAATGCGGCCCTTGACTCCGAATCAGAAGTCTGAACGCAGTCAGGGCGGAGAAGACGACCAGGACGATGATGGCGATGACGATGACGAGGATGCCTTGCTTGAGGTCGGGGATGCGCCGAAGCAGGCTGCAGAGTTTCCGGCATTGAGCTTGTGTCTGCAAGCCACAGTTTTAATCGCTGAGTTTCTAAAAATCTTGTGTTTCTGTGGGCACTTGAGCTGATAGTGTATGCAGCGACAGGCATCCAGCCGGCCGGCCAGTCGCACAGCCAGTCGGCCAGCCAGTCGGCCGGCCAGCCGGCCGGCAAGCCAGCTGGCCAGTCCGGCCAGTCGGACAGCTACTTACTTAGCCAAGAGCTGAACTTTAAACTTTTTGGGTTTCCTTATTTAGTAGGAACAATAAAGTTTAGCCATTTTTTTCCCTTCGTTATTGGAGAAGTAAGGCTAGTCGGCCGGCCAGTCAGCCCGAAGGGAAAGCAACTGCTCCTGACCCCGGCAACGTGTCTGAGGGGGAGGGGGAAGGACCCGCAGAGAGTGGGCGCATGCTTTCTCACCATGTGTTGCTCTGCCATGCTTTTCTTGTCTGCATGTTTTGGATCCAAGAGGACCTGAGGATCTGCCCCAGCCGTGCCTTGGCTGATAGCATTTCTTTTAGGGTTTAGGGTTTAGGGTTTAGGGGTTTAGGGGTTTAGGGGTTTAGGGGTTTAGGGGTTTAGGGGTTTGGGGGTTTAGGTGTTTAGGGTAGAGGGTTTAGGGACGCAGTCCAGTTGCAAAAAGGGTTTAGGGTCCAGCTGCCACTTCTGGGGCGTTAAGTGCCTGCAGAAATCGTTAACCTCGGGCCGTACACCCTTACATCCAAACCCCTAGACACCTAAGCCTCTACAATCCCAGACCCTGAAACCTTAAACCCTAAACCCCAAACCCTAAACCCTAAACCCTAAACCCGAAACCCTAAACCCTAAACCCTAAACCCTAAAACCCCGACCCCCCATCCCGTGCGCCAAACGAGCGCTCAGGCCGGAGGGGGAGGAGGAGGAGGAGCAGGAGGAGGATGAGGAGGTGGAGCCAGCCAACGCCTCAGTGAATAGGGTTTAGGGTTTAGGGTGTAATAAGGGTTTAGGGTTTAGGGCTTAGGGCTAAGGGGTGCCCTGAACCCTGAGAGCTCACATCCTAAACGACTTGAAAGCTGCACGGTCGGGTTGCCCAAAGAGCCCAAGACCATGCACCATACGGGCGTGCTGGCACTTGGCACGGGCTCCCGCAGCGAATAGGGATAAGGGATGGCCTGACTCGGGGAGGAGATCTCAATACCCTTTCATAATCTGTATGGGTTCATGGGTATATTCCCCTTGGAAATCTGTTTGGGCCTATGGGTATGTGCTTGCCCTTTCCATTCCGTTGATTTGTTTGAGGCACTCCCTGGTGTACCCCTAAGCATGTCGTAACGTTGGGTTCTGAAGTGAACTGTGCAAAGCATTCTCTCTACAGTTGCCCCGCGGAGCATGGTTAGACGGGTGGCAAAAAAGTGCAGAAACCCTAACTCATCTCTTTGTCTGTGCCCCGGATGGCAACATAGTCTATTCCCTAATCTCGATGTCTCAAACGCCTGCAAACTGAACAGGGTAGCAGGGCTTGGCAGTCAGGGTTTAGGGTCTAGGGCCTAAACCCAAGTCCTGAACCTTAAACCTCACCAAAAACAACCCAACAGAATAGTCCTCAACCCTAAGCCCTTGCCTACTTGTGTGAGTGCGAGAGTCGAAACCCTAACCCCACGCCCCAAACCTCGAATGCCGCCCCAAGCTCGCAGCCCCAGCCCTCCGGCGAACAAGTAGCCCTAAACCAACAAACCCATGAGCCCCATCCACCCATACACTTCGAAGCCCCTAGAAAAACCCATAGCCCTAAATACACCCATAGCCTAAACAAACCCAGAAATCCCTACCTAACAGACCCATCATGACCCTAAATAAGCCCACATTCCCCCCCACCCCCTCCTCCCTAGCCAATGAAAAGAAGCTAAACCCTCAACCCTCAACCCTCAACCCTCAACCCTCAACCCTCAACCCTCAACCCTCAACCCTCAACCCTCAACCCTCAACCCTCAACCCTAAACCCTCAACCCTCAACCCTCAACCCTCAACCCTAAACCCTAAACCCTAAAACCCTAAACCCAGGCCGATGAGCCCTGGCCCCCGGAGTCCATGGTGGATCGGTACCCGCACCTTTGCTTCGCTCCTTGGCGGTTTGAGGTTTCGCGGCCGGAGTTGGGGATGTTCCCCCTCATACCTACAGTCCTGAAAAGGGATTAGGGTTTAGGGTTTTAGGGTTTAGGGTTTAGGGTTTAGGGTTTCCCCCTATTATAATCCCTATGAAGGACTGTTCGTATAAGGGGGAACGTCCTAAGGCACGAGGCCAAAACGGTAGTCTGCATTCTTTTTTGACTCCTGCAAGGTTCACAGGAGTTCTTAGCTAAGTGTAGTTGGGGATCTGCGCTGTAGTTGGGATCACCTGCATGTGGTCAGATGAGAAGGAGCGTTCTGACCCCAGTTATGACCAAATAGTCCAAGGAACCTTTGCTGTAGGGTCTTGTTTCTTCTTGGCGTGCCAGCAGTCTGACTAGGCGGGTTCCCTAAACCCTAGACCCGAAACGAAACCCGAAACCAAAAAGCCCAAACTCTTAGGGTTTTGGAGGTAAGCTGTGGTCCTTGAGCTGGCAGGAAAGAGCATGCGCATCGACCGAAACCCCCACCCTTCCACCCATAAGCTAGGGCCTGGAGTAGGCTCTTATTCCCTTTTTTTAGGGTTTAGGCTCCCTTATACGTCCCAACAAAAAGGGCATCCTGTTTTTCCTAGGTTACTTTTGGGTCTGGAAACCTTAAGGCCTGAACTCATAAACCCATAGTTGGCCCAGGACCTCTTCTTCGAATTTGAGCCCGCATGGAAGGCTGGGGTTTAGGGTTTAGAGTTTAGGGTTTAGGGTTTAGCTTGGGGATCAGAGGGCCAGGATTCACCTTAAACCCTACACCCTAAACTCTAAGAATCATCTTTGCAAAAGACAAAGCCCTCCGCCGGTTTGGGGTTTTGGGCGGTTAGGGACCCCGAAACCCTAAGCCCTAAACCCTAAACCCGAAACCCTAAACCCTAAACCCCAAACCCGAAACCCTAAGCCCAACCCTATACCCTAAACCCTAAACCCTAAACCCTAAACCCTAAACCCTAAACCCTAAACCCTAAACCCGAAGACAGCAGGACACCGACCCGGGCGTGCGCCTCGAGGCCCTGGGCGCCCTGGAGTCGCTGGCCGCGCGAGCGCCTTCCTGAGCGCTACCTCAGGGTTTGGGGGGCTTTGCGTTTAGGGTTTAGGATTTGGGGTTTAGGGTTTAGGGTTTAGGGTTTAGGGTTTAGGGTTTAGGGTTTAGGGGGCTTTGCGTTTAGGGGGGGCCTACAATTTAGGGGTCTATTTCAGGGGTCCCCTATTTTCATAAACCCCCCATGTTGGTGCATCTTATGATGGAAAAATTTTGAAAACACCTGGCAAAGCCTTGCACCCGCCCAAGGCCCGCCCGCAAGATTCACGGTCAAAGCCCAGAAAACCCTAACCCTAAACCCTAACCCTAAACCCTAACCCTAAACCCTAAGCCCTAAGCCCTAAGCCCTAAGCCCTAAACCCTAAACCCTAAACCCTAAACCCTAAACCCCAAACCCCCGTAAGTGTCTCTCCCGAGCTGCAGGGCGACCGGCGTGCCCTTGGGGCGCTGCTCCTATCTCTCAGAGACTTGGCAGCCTCGTGGTGCCCTCTTCCCCGCTTTTTTTTGGGTTCAAGGTTCCCTATTGCAAAGAAACCAGCCCAAAACCCTCCCTAAACCCTAAACCCTAAACCCTAAACCCTAAACCCTAAACCCTAAACCCTAAACCCTAAACCCTAAACCCTAAACCCTAAACCCGAAACCCTAAACCCTAAACCCTAAACCATAAACCCTAAACCCTAAACTAAACCCTAAACCCTAAACCTGTATGATAATATATGGTTGCTGGGCTACCAAGGAGACGAGGATTCCGAGGCACAGCGCCAACCGCGGCTGATTCTGTTGGGATGTCTGTGGGTTCAGGGTTCGGGGTTCAGGGTGTAAGGTTTAAGGTTTGGGGTAGGGTTTAGGGTTTAGGGTTGAGGGTTCCAGGTTCACGGTTCAGGGTTTAGGGGTAGCAAGTACTGGCTACAAACGGGTTTAGGGCAGAGGTTTTAGGGTTGTGGCTTTGGGCAGAAGGGTTTAGGGATTATTTGGGTTAGGGTCTAGGGTTTCGAGTTTTGGTTTCGGGATTTAAGGTGAGCATGTCAGTCTTTTTTCAAACAAGACTGTTCAAAAGGAGTTAGGTAGTTCTCTAAACTAGGTTCCCTTTGTAGGTCCCTAAATAGTACAGGCACCTTATCAAAACAGGCCCCCAGAGAGAGGGGCCCTTATTCAGAGAACGACCCATGTACTGTTTAGAGTTCGGGTTTTGGTTCGGTGCGGGCATGCGGCATGTGTTCCATTCTACTTTGACCTTTGACTTGGGTTTCAGGTCTTCCACAATGGTCTGGAAGACTCTGGCTTGGTTTTGAGCTTCGTAAGGGTAAGCGCATAAGGGGCTCCTTTTTGGGAAGTTCCAGCGGCTCGCCCTTGGCAGGTGTGTTCGCAAGCTATGCAAAGCTTCATGTCTCTGTATGAGCACGTGCCTGGCGATCTTGCTATTGCGACCGGTGCTGCAGCAAGCTTTGCATCTGCTTCACGGGTTCCTTCCCATTCAAGGACATCCCCCCAGGAACCCACCCCAAAACGGACACGCTAGGAAGATAGCAGCAGTGGGACTAAAGATGACCCCGGTCCCTGGATTCCTACAAGTGCACCTAAGCATCGGGTTTTCTTTTTTCTTCATGAGGGTTTATTTCGGGTGGGTGCCGTTCGTCAAAGAATATGCGGGGGCTCCCCAACATTCGGCTTTACCTCTTCGAGGGGTCCCTATACAGGGGACCCCTGTTCTGGGAGATGCTCAAAGAGTACACGTATGCTGCCTGGAGGCCCTACAATGCCCTGCAACTTGCCCCGGCGCTGTTCATGTTGCTTAGGTCATCGCCGTGGCTCAGATGATGATGGCGGGAAGCAACGTGCTGCTCGGCTTCCTCCAAGGGCGTTGGGTGTTTAGGGTCTAGGGTTTAGGGTTTAGGGTTGCTCCATCGGCTGCTGTCCATGTAAACCGCTTGCCTTCGGAGCTGCCATGCTCCAGGTTGGTGTGTTGGTCTTTCTCTAACCCTAAACCGTAAACCCTAAACCCTGTTCGCCAAACAAGTCCCTAAATATGATTTCTTCTAGCCCTTACGCACCCCGAAATGGAGGGGACGCTGGCCAGATGCGCTCCACCGTCGGTTTTTAATGTGGGGCCCGTTCAAGGCATTTAGCCTTAGGGCCTTAGGGCCTTAGGGCCTTAGGGCCTTAGGGCCTTAGGGCCTTAGAGCCTTAGGGCCTTAGGGCCTTAGGGCCTAAGACCTGGCAGGTTTAGGGTTTAGAGTCTAGAGTTTAGGGTTTTCCCACACCTTCACCATGAACCTCCGCACCGCTCGGATCTCCCAAAATTGGCTTAAGTAAGGAGTTAGCAACCTTGAACCCGAAGAGGAGCCGCTTTGTGATTGAAGCGAGTCCTCACATGCTCTCCTTTCTTCTTGGGATAAGGGTTCGGGTTGAGGAGTGTGGGTTTTGCACTCAGAGTTTTAGGGTGGCAGGGCTTAGCATAGGACAGCTTCCAGGTGTGCTCCGTAATACAGCTGAGCTTGAAGCCCAATCCGAAGCTTCCCTGTGCCCCAAACACTAAATCTAAGCCTCCCCAAACCCGCGATATTTGGGTGGCACACAAACAGAAGCCCAAACCCCAAACGCTGAACCCCGATTCCTAAACCTGAGCCGGAAACCTGAAACCCGAGCTTGTCGTAAAGTTGGGCTTCTGAAGTATTGTGTGCAAAGTGCAGTCGCCCCGTGGAGCCTGGCTAGACGGGTGGAAAAAAAAAACCCATAGCCCAAAACCCAAACACACAAAACCCTAAACCCTAGGCCCAAAACCCTAAACCCTAAACCCTAAACCCTAAACCCTAAACCCTAAACCCTAAACCCTAAACCCTAAACCCTAAACCCTAAACCCTAAACCCTAAACCCTAAACCCTAAACCCTTGAGGTATGGCAATAGCAACAGCCGCAAGGCAGCGCTCCAGGCGGGCACTTGGAGGTTCAGGGGACCTTACTTGGGGGTTGAGGGTGTAGGGTTTAGGGTTTAGGGTTTAGGGTTAGGGGTTTAGGGTTTAGGGTTTAGGGTTCAGGGTTTAGGGTTTAGGGCTATAACCCTCATTTGTCACTGCACATATAAGTCCCCGAAGTCCTGCAAGCAAGTTTCAACTAGACTGATTGGGGTGATACGTGCCCCAAATCCTTAACCCTGAACCTAATTGGGATTAGAAGTACCCATGCACCTGGGGTTCTCGGGCTTCTTTAGAGACGTGCACGGGTTGAGGGTTGAGGGTTCGGAAAAGACTTTGTTTTTTCCAGGCTTTAGGTGGAATCTAGGTGCCTCGAGCTTCGCATAGTTTAAGGGGGTTTAGGGTTCAGGGCTTAGGGAAGCTCGTTGCGAACAAAAGGTCTTAAGGGCTTAAGAGCAGTGGGCTCTTTGGGTCCAACTCCAAGGCTTCGCTCAGAGAATCCCCACACCCCAACCAGGGTATGGTTTCGAGACTGCGTTTTTTGGGGGCTTACATTTATTTGCTTAAGAACCCCCCCCCCTCCAAACAGAGAATAAAGTGAATGACTGTGTTGCCCTTGCAAGGACGAATACTTTATTGTGGTGGTTCTAAGCAAGTGTAGCTTGGGGCATCGGGTTCAGGGCTTAGGGCGTAGGGCTCTGGGTTTAGGCCTGAGGACTTCAGGCTTAGGGCTTAGGGCATAGTCTTCCCCCCCCCTGCCCTCCAGTGCAGAACCGAGGTACCTATCAATTAAAGAATATACATGACGATATTCGGGTCCCTAGTGCAATTCAAGGCATAGCCTCAACTTGTTGGTCCCGAAAGCCTAAACCCTAAACCCTAAACCCTAAACCCTAAACCCTAAACCCTAAACCCTAAACCCTAAACCCTAAACCCTAAACCCTAAACCCTAAACCCCTAACCCCTAAACCCTAAACCCCTAACCCCTAAACCCTAAACCCTCAACTTGTTGGGCTCTTTGGGTGGCGGCACGCAGGCGCTGGTTTCGGCGTCCGGCGGCAGCAACAGGGCCAGCAGGGTATGGGTTCAAAAACCTAGACCCTAAACCCTAAAACCCTAAGCCCTAAACCCCAAGCCCCAAAAGCCTTAAACCGGTTGGCAGCTGTTCCCCCATGTACCTACAAAACTGGTTCTTCAGAATTAGGCCCATGTCAAAGCAGACGCATGTTGTCGAGAATGATGTGTGGCAACGCTCAATCTTCCCCCAAGATCTATAGCTTGGTGCTTTTCCGAGTTATCCCTCCATAGCTAGAATATGAACTTTCCAAATACACATTACCACCCCCGCATAGCCATCATGTGAACTGCCCAAATCAAAGAGCCCCTCCACCCCTAAACCCTAAGCCCTAAACCCCTACGCCCCTATACCCTCAACCCTAAACCCTAAACGCCCGCCCTCCTCTCACAATGTCTATTCCAGGGTGTATAAGGGGTATATAAGGGTTCCCCCAACTAAGGGCCCACCATGAAACTGCCCTAAGATGAACCCTAAAACTCCTTGGGCAGAATGGTTGGAGATACTGAACCCTAAACCCTAAACCCTAAACCCTAAACCCTAAACCCCAAACCCTAAACCCCAAACCCTAAACCCTAAACCCTCCTTTGGCCAGGCTCTGGCTGCCGTACTCTCGCGCCTTTTGTCTGCCTGGGATGCAGTTCCTCTAAGTTCCCAGGTATGGTCCCTGACATTCTTTAAAGGCTAGGATGCCCAATAGTATTCCCTTTTTTGGCTGGTTTAGGTTCCCTTATAAACCCCTTTAAGCAAAAAAGGGCACCCTTTTTAAGCCTAGGTTACTGGGCAGCCTAGAAGGGTTCTGAAGTATGGGCCATCGGGTTTTTTATGGGGTTATATAAGGGGTCCCCATTTCAGGGCCCATGCAGAGGGACCGTGCAAGTACCCTAAGGCTCAGGGGCTTAGGATTTCACTGTCCGCCTCCGAATGTTTGTCAAGCAGGTGTCCGCATCAAGGCCCGCATATTGTAGGTTGCCGCAATGCAAGCCCAAGATCCCATGTTCATACTGTTCCCCAAACCCCCAACCTTAAACCCTAGCCCCTAAACCTCAACCCTCAACCCTCAACCCTCAACCCTAAACCCCAAAAGACGCAAAGTAGTAAGTCATGTTTGGGGAGCCTCCTTTGGGCGAAGGGTGGGGGGAAGTTGAGTCTCCAACCTTCAAACCCTAAACCCTAAACCCTAAACCCTAAACCCGAAACTATGACTTGTTTTCCTGTCTCGCTTGTGACTTGTTCTTCGTTTCTCGCTGGTGACTTTGCACTTCGCTTGTGGCCTTTTTTTTTGCGCACAGGGGTAGAACACTCAATGGCAGCGTGTTTCCAGCACATTCATCAGTACTGTTGTCGTTATTTCTCTTGTTCTCTTCTTGTTTTGGTTGTTTGCTTCTAAAATTGGGCCCTGCAGAGAGTACCCTAAATCCTAAACCCTAAGCCCCAAACCCACCCTAAACCCAGAGGGGGTCTGCTAGGCGGGTGGCAAAAAAGCCCTACACCGCAGCCCGAGAACACCTCTCAATTCAGGAATCCGCCTCATTAGGGTTTCGGGTTGGGGTTTAGGGTTTAGGGTTTTAGGTGTTAGGGTTTAGGGCTTAGGGCTTAGGGCTTAGGGTTTAGGTGTAGGGTTTAGGTGTAGGGTTTAGGGTTGAAGAGTTTACTGAAAGCAGGGCCATTGGGCAACCTGCGAAGGACACTTGGAGGCCCTCCGGGAGCAGGGCACGCTGGAAGCTGCGGCGGCGGAGCGTTTGTTGCCACTCGGTCTTCGGGTCGGGGGTTTAGGGTTTAGGGTTTATAGGTTTAGGGTTTAGGGGTTTAGGGCGTCTAGTAGTTCAGGGTTTCCTGCTGATCTGCGGAGTCCGGATGCAACAAGGAGGTTAAGGTTTGGGAGTTTCGGTTTAGGAGGTTAGGGTTTCTGATTGGGGCTTGGGATCTGGGCTTTAGGGTGGAGGGGGTTGCGAGGTTTACGATCTTGGGTTGGTGATGATTACTTGTGGGCTCGGGTGTGGCACCCCTCAACCCTAACCCCTAAACCCTAAAGTCAGCTAGGCGGGCAGCAAAACATGGCCCTCCTCGTCTGCGTAGGTGGATTCCCAGCGGGTAAGATTACATCTATTTGCTTAAGAACACCCCCCAAAAAAAGAAAATAAATAAAATAAACATGAAAACAAAAGGACAATAATCCCTGTATTGCCCTTGTAAGGAAGAACCCTAAATCCTAAACCCAAAACCCAAAACTCAAAACCTTAGAACCCTAAACGGTTCTTGCGCAAACAGTAGACTCAGACCCCGGGCCCGATTTTTGGAAGTTCGTGCGGCGCACACGCTGAAAGGGGCCAGCTACTACTTCAAGGGTAAGTTCCTGCAAGTTGAGGGGGGGGGGGCACCCAACAGGGCTTAGGGTTTAGGGTTTAGGGTTTAGGGTTTAGGGTTTAGGGTTTAGGGTGACCCACGAACTTCCTATTACTAGAATCTCCGTGGCCGCCTGCGGAACTCAGCCGTTGGAGCCACCTGAGGCTGCTCGAGGCCCTCAGCAGAACTGTGCCCGAGGACCGTTGGGGGGGACCCGAAGCCCTGAGCCCTAAACCCTAAACCCTAAACCCTAAACCCTAAACCCTAAACCCTAAACCCTAAACCCCAAACCCCAAACCCTAAACCTTAAACCCGAAACCCTAAACCCGAAACCCCAAACCCTAAACCCGAAACCCCAAACCCTAAACAAACCCCAAACCCCAAACCCTAAACCTGCCTCCTGTGCAAGAAGCCCCAAGAGCTGCGGGGCACGGGGCTTCAGCAGCTGGAGATTCAGGGGGAGCGGGGTTTAAAGTACGCCAAGGGGCTTGTGATTGAGGGTTGAGGGGTTTCGGGGTTTCGGGGTTTAGGGTTTAGGGTTTAGGGTTTAGGGTTTAGGGTTTAGGGTTACCGGGTTTAGGGTAAGTGGTCGGGGCAAGGGCACAGTATCTCGGAAGCCGCAAATGCACTTGGCCGACATCCCTAAACCCTAAACCCGAAACCCTAAACCCCAAACCCTAAACCCTATACCCTATACCCTAAATCCTAAACCCTAAAGGAGCTGCAAATGCACTTGGCCGACATCTTGCTGATCAGCCTTCTCGACCAGTCAGTCGAGGTGCCTTGGAGCTTGAGGAGGCCGCAAAGAAAAAACCAAACCGTGAAAAATAAACACAGTAATAGTAGTAGTCATGGCAGCAATAGAAATGATAATCATAAGGACCATGAAAAAAAGAATGTTCCTTAACATTAAAAAAATGGAAAGACTTCCTTTGCATAGTTGACTCGTGCTTTCAACTCGGGTTTAGGGTTTAGGTTTAGGGTTTATGACAGGCTTCTTGGCTTCTGGGCTGTTGAAAGCCAGATGTGGTGACCCCGGTCGCCAGCAACTTGACTTGTGCCTTCTGCTTGTGTCGCCTAGCCAGCTCTGCACTCCAATCCTAAGCCCGACAAACGAGTGGAATGGCAGATGGTGTGTAGGGGGGAAGTCACGGTTGAGGGGGGCCCCCTAGCTTTGAGCCCTTAGCCCTAAATAGACTCCCATGGTCGTCAGGGAGAACTCAGCTTTGAGGGTGGAACCCCGAACGAAATATAGCCCGACCAGCAAAAAGCCGCACACCCTGCAGCAGCTCTATCCTCAAAAAGCCCTCGCTCAGAACTTTGAAGCCTGCAAAACAGGCACCAGAACCCGCAGGGGCCCCCCCAACCCTAAACCCTAAACCCTAAACCCTAAACCCTAAACCCTAAACCCTAAACCCTAAACCCTAAACCCTAAACCCCAATTTCCTCGAGGTGCGACTGCTGGCTCTGCGGCACCTGGCGCCCATGGGCCCCGACTCGCCGCGCGTGCGCGGCGTGTCCGACTGCCCCTCGCGCGCGAGGTTGTACTTGGAGGTTCATGGGTACTTACAAGTTAGGGTTTAGGGTTTAGGGTTTGGGGTTTAGGGGTTAAAGTTTAAGGTTTAGGGTTTAGGGTACTTATCACCTCGTCTAGTTAGAACCTGCTTTCAAGACGTCGGGGGCTTGTAAGTACAGTTCTTATTGGGGTTAGAAGTACCGTGACTCTCCAAGTAGGGGGGCTCCGCGCGCCGAAGAAGCAAACCCCCTAAGCCAAGTAGACCCTAACAGCCTTACGTGACTTTGCGGGCGCCCACGGCCACCACTAATTTTCATTGCCCCACTTGCCCCACTTGCCCCACTTGCTTTTCCGGAAGAGCCAGTCGACGTTGCCCCACTTGCCCCACTTGCCCCACTTGCCCCACTTGCCCCACTTGGTAGCCCGGTGGAGCTACTTGATTTTGCCTCACTTGCCCCACTTGCGGCGGGGCTGGGGGGGCTAGGGGAAAGTGAAGCAAGTCGGGCAAGTGAGGCAAGTGGGGCAAGTGGGGGAAGGGGCTCCCCAGAACCCCTCCTCCTTCCTTCTGGCTGGAGCCAACCAAGACTGCCTCAATAGGCAGACTTGTGACTGCAAACAGAGCTGCACCATGGGTCCCTGCCGAACCCCAGCTTGACCCATGCTCACAGGCCTGAACTCTCTTTGTGCCTGAACTTTCCTCTTGCCCCCCCCCCCCCGCCCCCCCTCCATCCTCCCCTGTTGCCCCGTGCTTGCCCCAGCCACAAGTCTGCTCCGAACTCTCTTTGAGGCAGACTTGCGGCGCAGCCAACTTTCCTCTTGCACTTCTCCGCCCCCCCCCCCCCCGCTCTTTCTTTTCCCAGTTATTGCTATATATTTTCTTTTATCATTTCGTCAGCCCAGCTTGGTTTACCTGCCCCGCTATCATGTTGCCCAAACAAAAAAGTCTGCCTCAAATACAGTCCGATTTGAGGCAGACTTGTGCGTTCGCCACAAACACAGTCCGAGTTGAGGCCAAGCTGGGTGAGGGTGGGTGGGGGGGTTGGGAGTCGAGGGAGCAAGGGTTGGGGGGGCAGATTGGTGGGGGGGTGTGCCCCACTTGCCCTTACTTGCCCCACCCCACTTTCCCACCTGCCCCCAAGTGGGGCAAGTGGGGCAAGTGGGGCAAACGGGGCAAACGGAGCAAAAGGGGGCAAACGGGGCAAAGGGGCAAGTGGCAGAAATCACTTAGCGGCCCACACAGGGGCAAGTGGGGCAAGTGGGGCAAGGGGCAAGGGGGGCAATCACCCGGGGACCAGAGCAAGTGGGGGCAAGCGGGGCAAGTGGCAGAAAACGTTTAGCGGCCCACATTTGCACGCCCACTGTTATGTGAATATAATGTCTGATTCATATTAGTACTCATAATCATAAGAATAGGACTGATGTTACTAGTATTAGCTTTAGTATGAATAGTACTAGTATTAATATAAAGTACATTGATATGACATAGTAGAAAACAGCAGAAAGGGCAATCCTGAGGCCTTCGAGACAAGCAGCCGGCAGTCAAGTCGTTGGCTGCAGAGGTGCCTCTTTGCTTTTCGTCTTGGATTGGGGTTTAGGGTTTAGGGTTTAGGGTTCAGGGTTTAGGGTTTAGGGTTTAGGGTTTAGGGTTAGGAAGCCTAGAAGCCCTAGGAGGGGGGTGGGGGTGGGGGGGAGTAGGGTGGGGGGCACAAAATCCCGAAGAAGGGAGCCCCCCGCCCCCGCAGCCTTTTTGTAAAGGGTTCTCAAGCATGGACACCCTAAACCCTAAACCCTAAACCCTAAACCCTAAACCCTAAACCCTAAACCCTAAACCCTAAACCCTAAACCCTAAACCCTAAACCCTAAACCGCAAACCCCAAACCCTAAACCCTAAACCCTAAACCCTAAACCCCAAAACCCCAAACCCCAAACCCTAAACCCCAAGCCCCAAACCCCAAACCCCAAACCCCAAACCCCAAACCCCAACCAAACCCCAAAGCCCTAAACCCTAAACCCCAAACCCTCCCTTTCCAACCCCAAAGCCCTAAACCCTAAACCCCAAACCCTCCCTTTCCAACCCGGAGCTTGGCAGGTCCTGCAAGCATGGGGCCACGAACCGCGATGCGATCCGCGGGCGTACAACTCCCGCCACCCCGTCTTGTTTTGGGTTTTGGGCTTAGGGTTTAGGGTTCAAGGTTTAGGGTGTAGGGTTTAGAGTTTAGGGTTTAGGGTTTAGGAGTTAATGCATGCTGCGGGGACTGAGGTTGACAAGTTGGAGGGTTTAGGGTTGAGGGTTGAGGGTTGAGGGTTTAGGGTTGAGGGCTTAGGGCTACACGACTCCCGACACCTACCCGGGTTTTTGCCCAGAAGGCACAGTTCGCAACTCGGGTTCGGCCTACTCGGGCTGGGAGGTTGTGAAAAAGGGTCCCTCGGATGGGTACCGGAAAAAGAATTCCTAGGTCCTAGGGTTTAGGGTTTAGGGTTTAGGGCCTCAAAGGTCGTTTTGCAAAAAGGGGTTTAGGATTTAGGGAAGCCACAAACCCTAATTCTCTTTAAGGCGCCCTAAGCTTTCCTAAGGTTCCCTAGATACCGGCCTCCCCAAGAACCCGCACTCCCTTAAAGAACCTATAATTAGGTCCTAAGGGAAGATAAGGGCCAGAATCGGGGGAACCTTAAGGGGCACAAGCTTAGGGGCAAGAGTTTAAGCCCTAAACCCTAAACCCTACACCCTAAACCCTAGGTCCCCAGCAAGCAGCTGCCACTTACCTCTTCCGGGTGCCCCTGCGGGTCAACCGCTGCAGGTGGCGACGTGAACCTACATCCTGAAATCCTAAAACCCTAAACCCTAAGCCCTAAACCCGAAACCCTAAACCCGAAACCCCAAACTTCGGGATCAGCCATGCCCCCCACCTTTGTTGCACCCCGGGCCCTTGGCCCTTCAGCATTCCCCAACTTTGGCTCTCTCACCCCCGGGGGGGGGGGGGGCGGGTGATGGATGTTGGCGGGCTCTGATTCCAAGGAGTATCCCTGACATCAGAGGCAGGATGCTTCTTATGGGAGGGCCTATTGGTTTGGTGTTTTTTGTTTTTTTTTTTTTATATTTTTTTTGGCATTTTTTTTTTCGTGGTCCCCTGGTCCCCTGGATTGCTGGGCCCCTGGTCTGCTGGTCTCCCGGTCTGTTGGTCTGCTGATCGCCGGGTCCCCTGGTCTGCTAAACCCCCCCCCGCTTCTTCAAGCCGCGCGAGCAGATGAACGATCGAAGGGCAACTTTTTTTCAAAGCATATGAACGATTGACGCCCTTGATGCGAGCATTTTGTTTGCAAATGGGGGGGGGCTGGCTGCGCCGCCCCCCCCCCCCCCCCCCCCCCCCCCCCCGCCTTTTTTGACAGTGGCAGCTCGGTTCAAAGCATATGAAAGATTGAAAGCCATCATGCGAGTGTTGTGTTTTGCAAATTGGGTGGGGGCTGCGCCCCCCCAGCTTCTTTAAGCCGTGCAAGCTTTTTTCAAAGCATATGAAGGATTGACACCCATCATGCCACTTTTTTCTAAGCATATGAACGATCGAAACCCATGACGCAAGCTTTGTGTTTGCAAATGGGGGGCGCCCCCGCTTCTTGAAGCCGTGCAAGTCTTTTTCAAAGCATATGAACGATAAAAGCCCATCATGCCACTTTGAAGCATATGAACGATTGAAACCCATGATGCGAGCATTGTGTCTGCAAAATGGGGGGGTGCGCCCCGCCTCGCCCCAACCCCCGCGTTTTACAAGCCATGCACGCTGCATTCAAAGCATGTGCGTCTTTTTGAAACCTATCATGCGAGCTCTGTGTTTGCAAATGGATGGGGGGGGGGGGGGCTGCCCCCCCCCCCCCCCCCCCCCCCCCCGCGTCCCCCCAACTCCCCGCTTCTTAAAGCCGTGCAAGCTTGCGAGCAACATCTATAAGAATTCCTACGAAAAGCAGTACGAATCCTATGAGAATGGAGGTTTTCGTAGGAAGAGCAAAAAAAATGGACCAGTTCCTATGAAAATATAGAAGGAATGGAGGGTTTTCGGGAAAAACCAAGAAAATCGACCAAATCCTATGAACACTTAAAAGGGAACGTAGCCTTTTCCTAGGAAGACCAGGGGACCAGGGGACCACGAAAAAAAGAAGTACCAAACAAAAAGGGAAAAACACAAACAAAAATCTCCGCCCCTTCTTATGGTCCAAAGAAGATATCCGCTGCTCAGGTGCTCTTTGGAAGGCCTAAACCCTTAAGCACTAAGCCCTAAGCCCCTGCAACTTGAACAACGAAATAAGCCCTAAACCCTAAACCCTAAACCCTAAACCCTAAACCCTAAACCCTAAACCCTAAACCCTAAACCCTCAACCCTAAACCCAAGCAGCCAAGGAGGGAACAAGTACCGGCTGGAGGCTGAGCTCATGGAATTCCAGTCCTAGGGTTTCGGGTTCCGGCACCGACCTTTGAACCCACCAAACTTCGCTCCTAAACCCTAAACCCTAAACCCTAAACCCTCAACCCTAAACCCTAAACCCTAAACCCTAAACCCTAAACCCTAAACCCTAAACCCTAAACCCTAAACCCTAAACCCTAAACCCTAAACCGTGAACCCTAAACCCTAAACCCTAAACCCTAAACCTAAACCCTAACCCTAACCCTAAACCCTAAACCCTAAACCTAAACCCTAAACCTAAACCCCTAAAAACCCTAAACCCTAAACCCTAAACCCTAAACCCTAAACCCTAAACCCTAAACCCTAAACCCTAAACCCTAAACCCTCAACCCTCAACCCTCAACCCTCAACCCTCAACCCTAAACCCTGAACCCTCAACCCTAAACCCTAAACCCCAAGCTGCCAAGCACTCCACGTCCCGGAGCCGGGGTTCCCAGCAGCCAGCCGGCGAAGCCGCTGGCCGACATCCGGGCACACCCGAGCTCGAGCTTGCGGTTCACGGTTGGGTTTTTAAGGGTTTAGGGTTTAGGGTTGTTTAGAGGAGTTTAGGGGAGTTTAGTGTTTAGGGTTTAGGGGGAGTTCAGGGGAGTTTAGGGTTTCGGACCAGTGGCCTGGGTGCAAACAGGGCTTAGGGTTTAGGGGGCTTTTGGGTTTAAGGGTTTTCGGGTTTAGGGTTTAGGGTTTCAGTGTTTCAGGGTTTTCAGGGTTTGCAGGGTTTGCAAGGTTCAGCAAGCTCTAGGAAGTCTTCGGGGGTGCCAGGGTGTCCCCTGGCCGTGCAGGCCACATTTTAACCTGCAAGCCGTGGCGGAAGAATTTCAGGATACCATATGGGAGGCTTCGGGGGTACGCAGGGTAGATCGTGATAACAGGCTCTTTCGCAAGGTTTGTGGGTGGGTTGAGTGGCTCGCTCTTCAAGGCTTCAGAGCTCTTCAGCAGTCTGCTTCGGCTTCTTGTCTCAAGCCTTCTAAGCGGGTCCACGTTCCGCCACGCCATTGCTTTCGCCCCTGGGGCAGTCTCACTGTGGATTGCAGCCAGCCCAGCGCATACAGACCCAGCATGCCTACGCTCCATGACTAGAGGCCCCTCATGAAGTGAGAATTGAAAGCTGTTTGTTGCAAACAACCTAGGGGAATGTCAATCATACCATTGTGACGTTTTGGACTGCCGAGCTTGTCGGAAGTGCTGCTTGGTCGCATCGCTGTCCTGTGCGTGCGATGCAGTCGAGCCTATTGTTACACCCTAGCATCCCAAACCAGGAGCCCTAAACCTCAATCCCTAACCCTAAACCCCAAACCCTAAACCCTAAACCTGCTACCCTAAACTCGCAAGCGAGGGCTGGCACGGCCTCCGCATGGTTCCGCAGCAGGTCGATGGGGCAAAGCCACGACCTTGCAAGCACCCGAGACGGCCAATGTTGCCATTGCAATGGCCACGGAAACAAATACGCTGTCCAGAGGCCCACGGAGGCATGCGCTGTGCGAGGTGTGAGAGCATTCTCATGCTCTACACTCGCATGGGGTGCTGGTTACTCGGTTTTACCAGCAAATCCAGAGGACCGTAGGCCCTACAGGGAGACGAAATCTTACATCACTGACCATCTAGGTGTCTCAGGACTGTTTTCCCTGACACCTCCGGAGACTTTGTGTGCTTGGCAGTCGAACTTGCTTGAAGCATCGCGAACTTCGCAGGACATGTGAGGTCCGAACGTTTCGAATGTTTCAGCTTCTAGGGCCCTTAGTATGATCCCTTACCTTCCAAAAAGGTATACAAGGGGTATATACAGGGTCCCCACTTAAGGGCCCAGACTAAGAGACCATGCAATTACCCTTAGAAACTCCCACCTGCCATCCGGTTGCCTCTTGGTTTCCAAACATGGTCACTGTATCGTGCTAGATCTACACTAAACCCTAAACCCTAAACCCTAAACCCTAAACCCTAAACCCTAAACCCTAAACCCTAAACCCTAAACCCTAAACCCTAAACCCTAAACCCTAAACCCTAAACCCTAAACCTAAACCATAAACCCTAAACCCTAAACCCTAAACCCTAAACCCTAAACCCTAAACCCTAAACCCTAAACCCTAAACCCTAAACCCTAAACCCTAAACCCTCACGGCACACGCAAAAGAAGCTCCTCCGGAAGGTTCTGAGCCATGGATGTCGATGCAGCCGTGCCCGAGGAAAGGGTGGCCGTTGTCTCCTCAGACAGCAGTGGCGATGAGGGCTCAGGCTCCTCTTGGAACTTAGTAACCAATCTATCACTCTAGTACTAGTGTGGTTATAACTCTAGTACTAATGTGGTTACAACTTAGTAGCCAATTATCACTCTAGTACTAATATGGTTATAACTCTAGTACTAATATGGTTATAAGTACAGTTGTAAGTTGTAAGTACAGTTATAATCCGTTCATAAGTACCATCCAGGCTCCTATCCCGGCTCTTGCGCCGAAGGAGAGCCACCCTCGGCTCGCGTTCTGGAGTTGGCGTCCCGCAGAATCTCGGTGATGCGGCCGGTCTCGCCCGACGTGCTCAGGGCGACGTCCGCAGGCAGGGCGCTTCGCTTCCTCGCCCGGGCGCTGTCGCAGCCCAAGGGGCGGCACCACCTCAGCTTTCAGACGGAGCGCATCCAGTGCTTTTGGAGCCATAGCTGGCATGGGAGTACTTGGAAGAAGCGCCTCACGCTCATCTTCATCTACCTCGCTCCTTGGGCGGCGGTGGCATCGACAGGTGCAGCAGCCTTGACGGCGTTCTTCTTCAGCCTGAAGGTGCTTTTGCCAGGCTTTCGGCAGAGAGAAACGTTCCTGTATCCGAAATCCTTCTGGGGAACCGGAGTCGGAGCCCTCACGTACCTTCTCGTCCTCCTCCTCGCTCGGCCGCGGACATCGGTCTTCCTCGATGCCATTTGCATTCACCAGGACGATGAGGACATGAAAGGCAAGGCGCTGTTGAGCCTTGGGGCTTTCCTGAAGAACTCTGAGTCCATGCTGGTGCTCTGGGATCCTCGGCCACACCCAGGAATGCGTAGCCTTGCTTACATTGACGTAGTTAGCCTGGATGTTCTTGCATACTTTAGGAGTTTTGCAGGGGGTGCCCTCCTTTTCCTCTTAGAAATGGGTCAGGGGGAACACATGCGAACCCAGGACACGTCCTGGTCGCATCGCCTTTGGTGTGTTTTCGAGTTGGCCGCATATTTACGCAGCTGCGAGCAGGAAGGGAAGAAGCCAAACATTGTGATTCGCCCCACCGGCATCGGGCCATCTAATTTCCTGCAGACGCTGGCACTCTTGATCGTCTTCTTGGCCGCTGGTCTCGTACCCGACAGGCAGAAAGAATTTCTGTGGACTATGCAGGCCCTCTTCGCCTAAACCTTAAATCCTAAATCCTAAACCCTAAACCCTACACTACACCCTAAACCCTAACCCTAAACCCTAAACGGTAAACCCTAAACCCTAAACCCTAAACCCTAAACCCTAAACTCTAAACCCTAAAGCCAGGCCCTCTTCGCCTTCCTTGGGTTTTACGTGACGGCGACGACGTATCGCCACATCTTCGGCTCTCTGGAGCAGGTCCGGCGCGAGTTGAAGCTTAGTAGCTGAGTAGGTAACCTTTAACTGGGTATTGCTTTGGGATGATTTTAAGTCTCCCTTCTTTCCCTTTTTAAGGGAACCTCTTCATAAGTAATTTTCAAAGGGCTTTATCAAGCAACACCCAGTTAACATGCTTGGTTGGTTGGAATCCTACTATATACAAAAGGTCACCTTTTTTTGGTCTCGGGTATTCGGCCCCTAAGGAAGGGCTTTCGCCTCGAAGACGCCAAGTGCCACTGCTGCACGAAGGGCCATGCTAGCCCGGAAGAGCTGTGTGACCGGAAGGCTGCTCGGTAGGCCCTTGGGATATGTTCTATTATCCCTTGTTGGGTTTAAGAGGATCATATTTAGGAATAAACCCAAAACCCTAAACGCTAAACGCTAAACCCTAAACGCTAAACGCTAAACCCTAAACCCTCAACCCTAAACCCTCAACCCTAAACCCTAAACGCAGGGTCTTAGAGGGCCTCCCAGGTTATGGAACGATGCATCGTGATCTGGTTTGGAAGTGTCGAGACCTTCGAAGAGAGAGTGCGGTCCGACGTGCTTGCCTGTCTCTTAGGGATACTTGGGAATAATTTCTAATTTTGGGGTACTTTCATTCCAAGAAACAGCGAGAACAAGTTGCTAGGGTTCCAAGTTCAGCTAAGGTCTCTCCAAACAGCTCGACACGCAGCTCTTCTCCTACCGGCAGTGTGTCCAAGGCATGGTGCCGGTGATCTGGACCTTCATGGACACAGGCTCAGCTCAGATGCACTTCAATGACCACTGGAAGAATCTGCTGGCCGAGCTCATCCGTGGCTTGGCATGGTGGCTGGGTGTTGTTCCATCCGCGTACCTCATCGGCCTGAGGGTTGCCTACTGTCTGCGGAGGAAGCGCAGCTGCTGGCTCTGCGAAGAGGCTTAGTAGTAGAGTAGGAAACCTTTAGTATTGTATTCCCTTTATCATCCCAAAGGATAACCTTTAGTTCCCCAAGGATACTGGACAACTAAGGAGGCCATGAATGCGACGGTTGTCCTGAGCATCGTGGCCGCGGTCGTGGTTGCTGTTCAAGTCGAGTTCTTGTTCATGCAACTGCCGATTAAGTTCCATCATGATGGCCTCACTATAGAGCTGGCCCTGTTTTGTTGTCTCATGGTCCCTGTGGCTCTTGTGCTTTTTGGGTGCGTAGGCACCCATCCGCACACTGCCTGTGAGTGATGCCATCCAGCAGGCTACCTCGGGGGCTTCTGCGGAGCTTTCAGTGGGTATCATCTATTCTTGCTGAGCCATAGTTGTAGTGTAAGCCTTTTGGGCTTCCTTATTTCGCAGGAACTAACAGTCCTGAAGAGAGTGTTGCATGTTGCTTTCCACGGTGGGGGTGTTGGTCACCGCCGTGGGCTGGCTGCAGGCAGCCGCAACAACTTCTGCAGGCCCTTGAGGACCTTTGTGTTTCACTTTCGACTGGCAGCTTGTCCAGACGTACCTACTTATGGTCTGGAGAGTTGTGTGCCCGTTATCATAACTCAGCCCACGGGATCCCATGGGTTGGCTTTCGCTCGCCGGTGTCGCTTTTGTGCGAAAAGGGCTTGACCACCAAGGCGTTTAGGGTTAGGGTCTAGTAAACAAGGCATATCCACTCCATGTTTGATACGAGTCAGGTGCTCGATCCTTCGTGGCTCAGGCATCCAAAAAAATGGCAGTGTCAGGGCACCAAAGGACCGACCTTCATGTTAGCGAACTCCCCAACCCTGGGCACCTTCAAAATTCCAGTTTAAGCCCTCAACCCTCAACCCTCAACCCTCGACCCTCGACCCTCGACCCTCCGCCCTCAACCCTCAACCCTCAACCCTCAACCCTCAACCCTGAACCCTGAGCCCTAAGCCCTAAGCTCTCAGCCCTCAGCCCTCAGCCCTCAGCCCTAAACCCCAGCCCTTAAATCCTAGACCCCAAGCAAACACCCAAACCCGCAACAGCGACTGGAGTGCAGCCTGCGCCATGGGTTTCTCGAAGGGGAAGAAGGGAGGGTCCAAGGCGGGCCATGTGGGGGAGGTGGTGAGTTTGGGACGTTTGGGTAACCCTAACCCCTAACCGCTAAACCCTGACCCCTCAACTTAATCCCTGTAGACCTAAACCCGAAGTTTAGGGTTTGCGGTTCTGGCTTAGGGTTTGGGCGCGCGCGGGTGCAGAGGCTGTGCACGTGAGAGACAAACAAGTGCGGAGGAGAAGGAGGATCGAGACAGATGGCAGGGCGGAGGAGGGGAGGTGGAGAAATCACGAAGTTCAACACGGACATGAAGAAGAGACCGCGAGAGGTTGCACGGCGTTTGAGGTTGAGGGTTTAGCGTTTGGAAGTGCGGATCACTAGGTTACCGACTCTTCCTTGAACCTCTCTGAAAGGCGTGGTGGCCGCTTGGGGACCGAGCCAGCAGTGAGGGCACACTGAGACTCTGCACCCTAAAACCCTAAACCCTAAGCCCTACGACCTAAACCCTAAACCCTAACCCTAAACCCTAAACCCTAAACCCTAAACCCTAAACCCTAAACCCCAAGCCCTAAGCCCTAAACTCCTCAAAACGCCCCAAAAAACCCTAACAACCCTAAACCCCTACACCCCCAGCGCTAGGGTGGCGTCGGCTTTGGGGGGGCCAAGGGCGGCTGCAGCGGGAAGGACCGACCGTGCTCTCGAGCTCGGGTGGAGGGTTCAGGGTTTCGGGTTTAGGGTTTGGGGTTTCGGTTTGGGGTTTGGGGTTTGGAGTTTGGGGTTTAGGGTCGGGTTTGGGGTTTAGGGGTTAGGATTTCGGGTTTAGGGTTTAGGGTTTCGGGTTTAGTCCGTAGGGTGCAGGGTTTTGGACCCTGATATTGTGGTAAGACAAGGGCCCTGATGATAGTTGTTTCCCCGAAGTTGATGCGAACCATTTTTTCGTGGGTGCTTAGGGTTTAGGAAAAAGGGTTTGGGGAGGGGTTGGGTTCAGTTTGAAGGTTATCGGGGATCAGTTCTGGGTTATGGGTTTAAAGGGGTTCAGGGCTTCACGGTCGTCTGGGAAATGTCAGGGCTGCAGACGAACTCCTGAGCCCTGAGTTCGAATCGAGAACTTCCTGCTGACCTACCCTCCCCCTAGACCCTTAACCTATGTTAAAAACCTTAAGCCCGCGCGCTGCAGCCCCAGCAGCCTAGACCAGAAAGCCCTGGTACCTATTAGCCAATTATAACTGCACTTAGAACTGTACTTATAACCATATTGGGGCACTTGGGGGGCTTGTAAGTGGGTTATAAGTGCAGCTCTAATTGGTTAATAAGTACCATGAACCTCCAAGTAGACCTATCCCAAACTGCCGAGACCATGCACATGCTGAAGCTCTCTGACCCCAAACCCTGGGGTTTAGGGTTTAGGGTTAAGGGTTTAGGGTTCAGCTTTGGGTTTAGGGTTTGGGGTTTGGGGTTTTGGGGTTTAGGGTTTAGGGTGAGCAAGCGACCTGACCCTTCAACCCGGAATCCCCCCACAAAGGGCTTCACCATCCACAGCGGGCCAATCCTGGAGGCAGCTGGTGCGCTGGCCTTAAACCCTAAACCCTGAACCCTAAACCCTAAACCCTAAACCCCAAGCCCTAAGCCCTAAACCCTAACCCCTAAGCCCTAAACCCTAAACACGGTTTCGTCTTGGGTATGGGTTGAGGTCGAGTTTCATCGGGTTTTAGCCTAACATGACAGGTCGTAGAGCGAAGGGGGGTCTCAGATGGTTCTGGGCCCAGATAGGAAGCCCTTGCACCTCGTTCCTGAACCACCTGACCCTTAGCATGTCGAGCTTCAAGGTGCTTGCTTCAGGAAGGAATTCGCCTTCTAGTTTCCAGAGTAGGCCATTGTTCCTTGTTGTTTTTTGTCTAAGGGCTTAGGTTCCCTTGCAAGCCCCTTTAACCCAAGAAGGGTATTCTTTTTATTGCTAGGTTACTCCTGGTCCTGGTCTTCTAAGGGTAGTTACATGGGCCCTCAACATGGTCCTTCTGAAGTAGGGGCCCTTGGGTTCTATAGGTATACAAGGGGTATAGAAGGGGTCCCCATTTCAGGACCCATACTAACGGACCAAGGTCTCACTTGGAGGTTCATGGTACTTCATAACCAAAAAAAACTGTGCTTATAGCCCACTTCATAAGCCCCTTAAGGGCCCCACCATGGTTATAAACCCTAAATCCTAAACCCGAAACCCTAAACCCAAAACCCTAAACCTTAAACCCTAAACCCCAAACCCTAGCCCTAAGCCTAAACCGGTTTGGGGGGTGAACCCTAAACCCTAAATGAGAATAGTTTGGGTGGTTGGGGTGGGACTACATGCTAGGGCAAGCGAGCGTCCCGGGTGCTTTTAGCACCAGCGAGCTTCCCTTCTCTAAACCCTAAACCCTAAACCCTAAACCCTAGACCCTAAACCCTAAACCCTAGACCCTAAACCCTAACCGCCCTAACCCTAAACCCTAAACCCTAAACCCTAAACCCTAAACCCTAAACCCTAAACCCTAAACCCTAAACCCCAAACCCTAAACCTCTCTATCATAATGTATTTAAACCCTAATTCAAAAGTGGGCAACGGTGAATTTCCTGGCCTCAAAAGTGGGCAACGGTGAGTTTCCTGGCCTCAAAAGTGGGCAATGGTGATTTCCTGGCCTCAAAAGTGGGCAATGGTGAATTTCCTGGCCTCAAAAGTGGGCAACGGTGAATTTCCTGGCCTCAAAAGTGGGCAACGGTGAATTTCCTGGCCTCAAAAGTGGGCAATGGTGAATTTCCTGGCCTCAAAAGTGGGCAACGGTGAATTTCCTGGCCTCAAAAATCGGCAACGGTGGGCAACGGTGAATTTCCTCCCCCCCCCCCCCCCCCCCCCCCCCCCCCCCCCCCCCCCCCCCCCCCCCCCCCCCCCCCCCCCCCCCCCCCCCCCACCCCCCCCCCCCGCTCCACCCCCCCCCCCGCCCCCCTTCCGTGACAAATTCCGGGACCTTTCAAAAACGCCCCGGGACGGTTCAGGCCCTGGGTTTAGGGTTGAGTGCTCAGCCGCCGAGGCGTAGGTTCAGGTGGGTTCAAGCCCCAGGGTTTAGTCCCCAGGGGGTTCATAGGGTTCAGGCCCTAAGGATTGAGGGAGGAAGGTTTTACCACGGCACGACTGTTTTGCTTAGCGGTGCTTTGGGGAAATTTTCCTAATGTTATGGGATCCAAAGGGTGGGTGGGTAAATGTCCGATACCAGAGTAGCAGGCTTGACTTGAGATGCTGAACCCTAAACCCTAAACCCTAAACCCTAAACCCTAAACCCTAAACCCGAAACCCTAAACCCTAAACCCTAAACCCTAAACCCTAAACCCTAAACCCTAAACCCCATAAGTACAGCAATAATTGGTGACTAAGTGACATGAACCTCCAACTAGGGCTGAGGATTGGGTTTAGGGTTTAGGCGCTTTTGACCCTCTAAACCCTAAACCCCAAACACCAAAAGAAATTCAAGCCCAGTAGAAAACGCAACTAAACCTCACTCTTAAATTCAAGACATGCAGCAATTGCAACGAAACCTTCCTCAGAAATTCTACCCGAGTAGCAGTTACAAGGAAACCTTCTTAAGACATTCAAGCCGAATAGCAATTGCAACGAAACCTTCCTCAGAAACTCAAGAAGTGCAACAAAGCCTTCATCCGAAAATGAAGACGAGTAGCAATTGCAACGAAACCTTCCTCAGAAAGTCAAGACACGTAGCAAAGGCAACGAAACCTCCTCAGAAACTCAAAAATAGTAGCATTTTCAGCGAAACCTTATTCAGCAATTGTTTCACGGAGGCGCCTCCCCTCTACAATGCCGTGGCCATGAGCCACGTGCCACGGGCCTGTGAGCTCCGGGGCAGCCAGGACACTTGGGTTGTGGGTTTAAGGTTTGCTTAGGGTTTAGGGTTTAGGGTTTACGGTTTAGGTTTTAGGGTTTGGGGGTTTAAGGTTTAGAAGGTTATCCTATTCCCAAGAAAGAAGAGCAGAATTTGTGTCAGTCAGTTGCCGCCGAGAAGTTGTGCGTAAGGCCAGTTCTCTACATGGGGCTCTGTTGTTCGCGACAATACGTAGGTACGAAAATCGGATACTGCTCGCTTCAAGACAGCACCGCGAGAGGAGGTAAACCTCATCACGGGCCACCGCAAACTGGTCCGCTTCTGGAAGACGCCCGGGCCCTCAACCCGAAACCGAAACCTTAAACCCTAAA